GTCCAGATTCAGCCACTGTTGAAACTGATCAGTTTCAGCAGCGGCTGAATCTGGACGCCAGTTCTGACTTACATACAGATTCAACTTAAGAACAAACCTACAGTCCCTATCTTGTACGTAACCCGGGGACTGCCTGTACTTGAAATGCAAATTTTCACAATATTCAACGTAAACATGACTTTTCTCCTATAAGCAATATAGTCCAGATTCAGCCACTGTTGAAACTGATCAGTTTCAGCAGCGGCTGAATCTGGACGCCAGTTCTGACTTACATACAGATTCAACTTAAGAACAAACCTACAGTCCCTATCTTGTACGTAACCCGGGGACTGCCTGTACTTGAAATGCAAATTTTCACAATATTCAACGTAAACATGACTTTTCTCCTATAAGCAATATAGATTAAAATAGGAATGGAACAATGAGGTTTTTAAAAAGCTATTTTAAAAGCAGAATCACACAAGACGTAGATGCTGGTTGAAACTTCACATTCACAATAGTTAAGCCTCACCCTTAACAGATGAGGCTTACCAGTTAAGATTAACAGGTGGGGGCTGAAGCAGCTCCCCACCTGCCACAAGCAGGGGGCTGCTCCAGCCCCGCGGTGTGGTGCTTGGCCCCACAGGCAGGGGCTGCTCTGACCAGGATGCCGGAGTAGCCCTTTCCTGCATGACACCCTGGCCCGCCACAGGCATGGGTTGCTCCAGCGTCCCAGCCAGCGTAGCTCCTGCCTGCAGCCCCTGCCTGCATCAGGAAGGGCGCTCCAGCCCAGTGGCAAGCAGTGAGCTGCTGCAGCTGGGCTGTAGTGGCTACTCTGCTTGCTTCCCCTTTATTGATTAATTGGCTAATTGCTTAAACATATTGTTTAACCACTTAAACGAGCTTTTACAACCCTAATAACTATAGACTACTTTTTTAAAACAATTTCAAAACTTACTTTCCAGTCCTCCATCGCCAATTGGGCAACGTGCTAATGACAAGCTCTCCAAAGATGAGGTCTTGGCCAATCCCTTCAAAATAAAAATAATTCAAAACATAGTTAAATTGCCTGAATAACAGTATTTTAATAGCACATATCAGAAGAAAAAGCACTGGTAGTACCTCCCACTATGGATCCTTCATGCATGCAAAAGGCCAGAATGGTGCAAAGAGGCCACAAAAGCCTTATTTGGTTCTAAGGGAGAATTCCCCTAGTACAGAACATGTAGAAGATACCTGTAAATCTGCCTTCTAAGAGCTCCCTCTTAAGCCCTAGGGAAGGGATCAGGCCAGGATAGTGCTAGAACATGCAGACAACCTGAGGAGTCTACACTAACTTTGAGAGGTCCCTAGGTCTGTCTTAAACAAGTTACACTAGGGGCCTCTCCAACCCTCAGAATAATCAAAGGCACAAATAAGCTTAAAGCTAGCTACCCATAGCTCCAGCTACATCTGTGAGAAGCTTGTAAAAAGTGGAACAACAGATTCTCACCCAACATCTTTATTGCTAAGTGCACACAGGGGGAGGGAGGGGAAGAGATGTACTTGAAGTCTTACCTTTGTTAAAAGTATTAGATCGCGCTCTCTCAGAAGCAGTCCCTCAAGTTCCAAATTTTTTAGAGCACTTGATATGTTCAGACAACCTCTGATGGCTTTACATAATTGACTAGTCAGGTCTTTTGATCGAATTGCTGGAATTCGTCTTCTAAAGTAGGTTTTATATCTTTCAGTCCCTAATAAATAACAGAAGTGAATCAGGGGTAAAATCCAGTGAATCAGTAAGATTTTTGACATTGATTTACATGGGGCCAGAATTCCATCCTATTTCTTTGTTTTAAGATTGTGATATCTGAAGAATTATTCCTTTCCCCCCCAGTACACACCTCAATTTCTATATCAGATAACTGTGGTTCATTTAATCAGTATTTTATCTCCCACAGAAGCCAAAACCCAAACAAGAGGGCAAAAAAAAATTCCTAACAAACAAACTGGCCATAGGAAGTCTTTCCTATCTCCAAGAAGTAATGCCTGAAGTTTTCTTTTATACCTCTTGGATTTATCATCACCACCGTTTAATGGACCATTAAAAGGAGGGAAAAAAAAGTCTCCAGCTCATGTTATTTATACCACATTATCTGAGTTGTTACTATCAACACAAGATTGGCCTATTATGTTTTACCTAAGACCATTAAAAAAAACCTCCCCAGTTTTCCTGAAATTAATTCCCATCTAGACAGACATAATTAATATCTCAAGTGATCATTACGAACCTGTTTCTCCAAGGCCCTGTTGATGAAAGCTTTTTATTACTATAGAAGTCAAGGTCTTATTATGCCTGATAGCATTCACAAGAGGTGTCCAGTCAGCAGTCTTTAAGCGATCTGCGTTTATCTCAAGAATGCCCTGATTCACATTAGCTTTCACAAATTTTAGTGGAACACAGCCTTGTACAGCACAGAGAAATTCATAGTGAGAATAAAAATCCAAGCTGCATTGTCTTCTTATTTTAACTGAGTCAATCATTTCTATTCATGTGCTGAGTATCTCTCTAAACTGAAGGAGAAAGAAAATAAGACAGTTTCCATTGAACAGCGTACTATTACATGCTTTCAGCACTAACATACAGGCATACAATATTAAAAAATAAATAAAGCGTACATTCAGGCAATTCAGCACATACAGGAAGACAGTATCATTATGTTTAAATTACTATACTGAATGAGATGGAGGGAAAAGAAAAATCCCTACATTGATACCTTCACAGATATAGTCAAGGTAACAATGGCTATAAAGCTAATGTATCAAGGCTCCAAGTTCCGACATGCTGGGTGCTTCCTGTGTAATGCTCAGTGCCTTAAACTGGTGTTGACTTAGGTCCTGATCCAGCAATGAAATGCATAGATGGTGATCCTTGCTTTTAGGACAGCTCACATGTTGCAAGTTAAGCACATGTTTAGGTGCTTTGCTACACTGAAATCTAGTCTACTACTATGGGATGGTCCAACTGTAGAAAATAAGCTTACATTTTCTCAAGTTGAGATGGGAGAGGTCCAGGTTGGATATTAGGAATAACTATTTCACTAGGAGGGTAGTGAAGCACTGGAATGGGTTACCTAGGGAAGTAGTGGAGTCTCCATCCCTAGAGGTGTTTAAGTCTCGGCTTGACAAAGCCCTGGCTGGGTTGATGTAGTTGGGATTGGTCCTGCCTAGAGCAGGGGGCTTGACTTGATGACCTTCTGAGGTCTCTTCCAGCTCTATGGTTCTATGATTCTAAGCAAAATAAGAACTTGTCAATTCAACCACTAAGAAGCTGCTTCACTGAGTGTAGGTAGAACACTGTAACAGAAATTGAGTTTTCTTATTAGAACTGGAATAACGACCTCATAGTTACCCTGTGCTTCCCAATATATCTGTGCCTCTCATCTTATACTTAGAGTGTAAGTTCTTCTCATTATGCATTGGTATAGCACCTAGCATAATGGAGTCTTAATGGATGGTAGGCACTACCATAATACAGGTTGAATCCCCCAAATCTGGGATTATCTAGTCCCGCAACAGCCATAGTCCAGCAAGGCCATGAATGTTGCTGGACCAAAGAGCCCCAGGAGTGGGAACCAACCAAGAGAATGTGGGGTTTGCGGGCCAGGCAGCATTAGAGAACCTCTGCCTCAGCCAGGAACCCTCCCCCCCCCCCAAGAGCCCCTGGCAGCAGGATTGGTGGCAGCTGGGCGACCCCAGCCAGGGAATCCTGAGATCCCCCCGGAAAGCAGCGGATCTGTGATGGCCAGGCAGCCCTGACTGGGAAACCCCAATGACAGCAGGGCCAGGCAGCAGCACGGAAGCACCACTTGGGGAACCTAGCAGCAGGACCAGGCAGCAGTCAGGCAGTCCCAGCTCCAGCAGGGAAATTGGCCATGGCCACCCTGACTAGGGAACCCCAGGAAAACCCTGATGGCAACAGAGCTGTGCTGGCCAGGGAACCCCAAGGAACTCCCAGACGTAGCAGGGCTGTTAACAGCCAGGTGGCCCTTGCTGGGGAACTCCTGGGAACCCCCAGTGGCAGCAGGGACAGTGGGGGGGGAGGAAGCTTGAGAGCCTTGAGAGCCTATGGGGGAGGAGCCAGCAGTGGGGTAGCCAGCAGGGGAGTAATGATACTGGCTCCTGGCTCCTGCCTCCCCTCCCATGCTGCCTCTGGCCCAGAAGGAGGAAGGGGGGG